TCTCTCTCTCTTTCTCTCATTAGACTAAAAGTTATATGAGGTGCTCAGTAAGTATTTAACACAGGAATTCATGAGTGAATAAACATATTCTAATCGCTCTCGTGGAATACTGAGACTAGCCAATAGCTAAAACACCTGAAATAATGTGTGACAATCTTATCTTGCTCACAGTTGAAATGATTTCCGAGACCATCTCTGACCTGTGAATAAAACTGCTGAAGAAAGGGCTTTTTGACTGCAGGCATCACAGCATCCAGATGGGGTTGAAGGAACTCAAACTGTTCAGCCAAAAATACCCTAAAGAGAACAAATAACCCACCGTGTAAGCAGAGTGCAGGATCTAGAGCCTGTCACTACTTTTGTAATCTTTAAGATCTCTAAGCCAAAGTTTAACCATTAAAATTCTTTCCCACTTTAGTGAACTGCCTCGTATTAGCTCATTTACAACCTACCCAAAACTTAATGCTGAGTTTATCGCTGAATGTGAGCAGAGGTGCAAAAAGAGGGACTTCAAAAAACTACTCTGGAAACTACAAGGTGAAGAGCTATGCTGCTTTGCATGTGAGACAGGAGCAAAGATCACAGAAAGAAAACTGAAGAAAAAATACAACAGTATTTTTTGAAAGGATTTCTTATGAAGATCCTATTTAATTATACAGAACAGATCTCTAAATTCACAGATTTAACATCTGGCACTTCTCAGAAGTAACCTCATGTGACACTTGGCTGAGACATACACGTGAACTTCAGGTCAGGAAGCTGTGTGCAGGAGTGGGAGTCATTTGCCTGGAGAACTGCCAGCAGCTATCCCATTTTTCTCTACATTTTGTTATGTACACAAAAACTCAAGTTATATTGGACTACATTTTATGGAAGAAGTCATATGCGTTAAGTGTATTAAAAATCGGGGGATTTTTAAAGGTCAAGAAATATTCTCACTGGTGTCAAGGGCTGACTATATCTACCACTAAACTAACAATGTAACTACAGTTTCTCTAGAACCACAATTCAATAGGAAAATATAAAGTATACTACAACTTTTTTTTTTTAAAGTTTTACTTTAAAGCAAGGGTCATCTTGCTAAAGACTGAAACCTAAAAGATTTCCCTTCTTTCATTTATAGAACTGAAAAACAACCATGCAGTTTTAAAAATCAATTGATAATCTATTTTAGGATATACTTCTCAGAAATATATAAGTAACATTCAGAAGAGGGAGATGTATACAGCTAGAAATCTAATTATACAATGCTTACTCTTAACTTTTCTTAAGTACTTAATGGCAAAGCAACTGTTTTTAACAACTTACAAGGATTCTGTGGCGACCACTCTTTCTGCCAACCCATATAATGTATCCCCAGATGTCAAAACCACTAGGTGACTAAGGTGTGGGCTTGGTACCTTCTCCTTTCTCTCTTCTGCTGCTGTGAGTGTGCCAGTAGGATCTGCTGAAACTTCCTGAAAATATAACACAAGTACAAACACAGCCTGAAATCAAATCTAATAGCAATAAACCATGTGATTTTACAAAATTGGACCTATAATTAAAATACTCGTAGGCATACATATTAATTACATTTAGTCTCTGTTCTTTCTTTTCCTTCCTTTATATTTTCTAACTACTGGAAATTTCCTTTTGGTACTAAGTGAATATGACCCAACTCTATGTGCCATTATTATCTGTGCATGACCTAAAGTTGGCCAACACAAGCAATCTTTATGAATTGGCAGATGTTTCATAAAGACAATAGTAAGATGCCCTTCAAGAACCTGTAAACAAGGAAAGAGATTGCCTCTTGAGGATCATCACGCTGGAACATTACAAAATCATGATATAATTAACCATTTCACATCTGAACTTTAATTAAGGTTAACTTTGGTATAATCTCAAGAAGGCAGGACTAGAATGCACTTACAACCTGAAACTGGACTAACTGTATTGTGTAAGTCTGCAGTCACACTGCTGATGAGAAGGAAGATAGATGGTTAATGGGAATAAAAGAAAGGGATGCCCGGAGAGCAGAGTGTATTGAGCTTTAAAAGATCCGCAAAGACAATTATTGCACAGAATTTGGACACAAACAAATCTAAAAGTGTACAAAATGTAAATCTAGGTTACTTCTTAAATCAGTTACATAGTCACAAATCTCCAACACTTGCCTTACGAATGAAAAAGACATCAAATGCACAGTGGGAACATAACAGGCTTATAAATTTAGCCCAATGGAACTAAAACATTATAAAACCTTTTAAGTTAGAAAAATGGTTTTATTCTTCTTTAGTTCTTTTTTATATCTTATCTTCTACTAAAGATATTGTTTCTTTTCAATCTCTAATTACTCAATTAGCATTTAAAAGTTATTTTGGGAACAACTGCACTTTCTCTAAGGGGAATCAGGATAAGGAAACTATGCGAGTTAATCAATGTCACCACTCCATTATTTATTTCCTACTAAAAAGGAAAATAATCACACCCTCCTGCTTGTGCGTGTACACACACATGCACGTACACGCACACACGTACACACACACACAAACACAAAATTACAACTGGCTGCCTATGCTATTTAATTTAATGCCTGTGGTCATTTAAATCACCATCTACCAGACTGTCCAAGTGAGAAACCTTGGAATCATTCATGCCTCTCCCTTTCCTCCCCTCCATCATGCCTTAGCACACACCTCTCATGTCTGTTTCTTCCTCTCGCCCTGCTTCATTAGAACCTAGGCCCCACAGCATTCTTGCCTGGACTAACAGTCCCCAAATACAGACCTCTGCCTCTAGCTTTTCCTATTTCCACTCCATTTTGCACACAGTTCACTGGTTGATATTTTTAGAATCCCAAGTGATCTTCCTAAAAGGGAGACGTGATCACACCACTCCCCAGTTTAAAAGTCCCAATGGACTATCCACTCCTTACAGAAAAAAAAGCCTAAACTGTTACCATGATACTACTTTTTACAGTGATACCAGCTATCTCGCCAGCCTCATTTCCACCTAATCTATGACTCTAAGGTCTAGCCACACTGGACTTGCTACACCTGTCCTACTGACACTCTTGTCTTACCTGCTCTCTTCTTGTCCCCCTGGCTCTTTCCTCCTCATTTCTTAAGTGCGAGGTCATATTCACCTCCTTTCTATAACTTTCTCAATCTCCCAAGAAGAATTAGTATCTTTCTTGTGTTAGCATATCTACATGTATACTTAATGTCTGTATGTGGCATAAAGTACACTTAGTCAATTGTTTCCTGACCCTTCCACCTCACTGTGAGTTCTTAGAGGGCTGGGACCAATTTCACCGCCTTTGTATCTTAAGACGTTGGTATGCTTCCTGGCATTAGCAGGCCCTCTAATAGTTTAATTGATGGAGACAAGACAGTCTTTACTGTTATCAAGGTCCCCACTGGCATCCCATGGCCAAGTCCAAAAGTCAACTCTGAATATCCATTTTAGTTAACCTACTGTAGCATCCTACATAGCTAATCTTGAAAAACTTTCTTAGTTTCCAGAGCACCATACCCTTCTAGTTTTTCTCCTAAGGCACCAGCCACTTCTCAGATTCCTTTGCTAGTTTGTCCTCCTCCCCCAGATCTTTAAACAGTGGAGTGTCCTAGAGTTCAGTCCTTGGACTTCTCCCACTCACAATCTACTCCCTAGATGGATTTTCTCTCCCAGTTTAAATATCAGCCACATGCCAAGGGCTCAAAATGTACATGCTAGCCCTGACCTCTCTCTTACCTGTAGTGCATTTAACATACCTGAAAACAACTCAAATGTGTCCCTCCTAAAAGTCTTATCTATCTACAGTAATGGCACTTCCATTCTCCAGAAGTTAGGTGTCATCATTGACTCCTCTCACAGTCATATCCCACTTCCAATCCATCAACAGATCTGACAGGTCTACCTTCAAAACAGATCCAGCATCTGATCCTGTTTCACTACTTCTTCCGCTAACACTTTGGTACAAGCCCCCTCATCTCTCTCAGTAGCCAAAATAATTCTCTTTTACCTAATTTCAGCTCTTCTGCTTAAAGCTCTTTAATAGCTTCCTGTGTTACTCAGAGTAAAATCAGCCTTATAAGATTTAGGCTCTGGCTACCTCTTTGGTTTTATCTATCACCAACCCTCTTCTATGCTTCATTCTAATTATACTCACCTCTGTGCTGTTCCTGGAATAGGCCAAGCATGGTCCCAACCTCAGGGTCTTTGCATTCCTTGTTCCCTCCACCTGAAACACTTCTCCCCAAAATATTCCCTCTCTATTAGAAAAGAAGTTGCACATGAGTAGGGAGTTTTGTCTGATTGCTGTCTCCCCACCAAAATTGTATCCTCAATTCCCAGACAGGATATGGCATCATATATAAAGTGTTCCATAAACAGGCACTAAATAAATGTTTCTTAAATAAATGAATTCTCATTCAGGTGGCTCACTCCTCTATTTCTTCCTTCGGGGATCTACTTCAATGTTACCTTCCCAGAAAGGCCTTGTGTGATCCCCTAAACAAACTAATACCCTTTTTCTCCTCTTTCTACCCTTTCCTAGTTCTATGTAATTCCTGACACAATCTGACATTAAACTGGATATTCATTTATTCCTTATGTGCCTCTTCTACCAGAAAGCCCATCCATTGGTCTTCCACAAAGTATCCCAGCACTCACCTGTTTGCTGACTGACTTAATAATAAAGATACCTATCCAACTATCATGTATCCCTTGAGCCTTACACTGTCCTCACGTAGCTCCTTGCCTTCCATCTACTTCCAATACCTCCTATAATATTCTGTATTTTCTTCTTAGGTCAGAGTTGTGAATATCCATCTCAGAACAAGTCAAGAGATGGTGAGGAGAACTGAAACACTGAAACAAGAAAAACTAATAAAGAAACTGGGCGAAGAGATCACTCACTTAGGCAAGATAGGTAACTAAGCTAGCCGAAGTGGCCCCAATGGGGTAGAAATAGATAACAGAATAGTTCCAGAGAGGGAGAAATGGCTGCATCACAACAAAGCACTTTCTATCAAGCAGAAGTCTACAGCAAGAAGGGTGATGAGTTCCCTATGGAAAGAGGTTCAGTCAGGAGCTGATAGTTACTCGGAATGTATAAAAGCTGTAAGACTGAATGAGCACAGGTAAGCTTCTTTCTATGTTTATATGAGTAGAAACTTGGGAGTATTAGACTCCATAAGTATATTCGAAGCATCAAACACACACTGTTTCAAAATATTTTGCAATAAACTGACAAAAACAGACATGAACTTTGCCAATATTGTAAAATCTCAAACTCAAAAGAGCTCCAGGAAAACCATAAATACCACACATTTGTAACAGCAGAGTTACTTCTGAATTTCATTCTTTTATGATAAGTTATCACCATATATATAACATATATTTAAAAACTAAAGGTTTCTGTGAATGTAGATATTAACTAGTTAATTTAGGATAGAAAAGGGAGGTGGTGCTGGAAGGCAAAGAGAGGTTATATCTGTAGCCTGAGAGAAATGCAGTTGATCTCTGGGTATGATGGGAAAGGCCACAAGCACTCACCTACTACCTCCTCGACCTACTCCTTACCTACCTCCAATTCAAATGTGTTGAACTCCCTCTGTACTCACAGAGCTCTTTCACAAAAACATTCCCGCAGAGATCACTGGCATTGCTGTCCCCACTTCAAAGAGTTTGCATTAGGATGCCATTCCTTGTTCCTAGTCAACACTGGTATTTTAGGCATAAAAATTATGGTAATTATCTGCTTAAAGGCTAACGTTCTGTGTTTATATTCAGGAAAATACCCATGAAGAGAGCAAGAGAATAACAACAATGTCAAGTTGATATAAATAAATGGTATGTGCTTATTGCAACTGTCAATGGAAAAGCTCCAAAACTGGATC